CGCTCTTCTCAGATTCCATAGGTTTCTCCGTGGCTTCGTTCGCGGTATCATTGTACGCTCGGGACAATCTCGCTCTTGGTGTCTGATGATCCTCTGGCACGACATCATTCTCGCCTAGAATCGAAGTAACATCGATTTCAGCTGGTGTCGAAGATATTTCCGTCGCGGTTTCGACGTGGAAAATTTCCTCCGTACTGGACGCTTTGGATTCGATCACCTCGGAGTTGTTGGAAGGTGGAAGATCGTCTGCCGAATCGCTCCCTTTCTTCAACGCAAACACGTAAGGTTCCGATGTGACCGATGCGTAAGCTCGATCGCTCTCGTCTTCGAGCGGCGACGCGGTGTTGCTGAAGGACTTCCGGATACTCGCGTAATCGTCGTCCTTTCGATCGTCGCTGACAGTTCGTACAGTATTCCCGACAATCGTTCTACCGCTCGGATGATCCTGCCGCAGCCTCTGTCCAAAACTGCCGGCATTTTCGACGAGAAGGATCTCTTCGGGCACGGTATATCCGGACTCGCGACTTAGCTCTTTAAACGGATACTCATCGATCGTTTCAGCGAGCGGCGTGGCATAGATCGGTTCCGGCGTGGAAGAATCGCTCGCAGAAACGCCATTCGAGTCTTTCTCGTCGGCGCGAGCCGCCCATCCGCTCGAACCGGCATCAGGATGATCACCGGTATCCGTTTGCCCGGAACTCCTCGCTTCTGTGCCCGTCACGTAAAACCGCGCTATTTGCTTCTCCGGCAAATCATGAGGCTCTGTGTAATCGACAGCCTGAAAAATGAGTCGATTTAAAGAGGCTGTCCAGAAAATTTACGGTTATTCGCGATAATTTCACCGCGAAAGCTACGTTGAGAAATTACGGAACTGTATTCCTTGCATAGAATCCTACAGAAACATTAATCATATAGGCAAGTATTCTGCAGAATGTGTATAATTATTTTTATGAAAGGATTGAATGAAAGAGAATATTTGAATCAAATATTTCATTTATCGCAATTTATATAACTTAGCATCGATTACTGTTTTTATAGATTTTCTGATTTATATATAATGTCAAATTCAACAAATTTATTATTGAATGCATCGAGGAAAGATTGTTTTGAAAATAAGTTTTAGATACACGGTATTTAAAATATTTATATATATTTGCAGAAATTATAGCGCAACAAAGAGTAAAATTAATTAAAAAGCTGCTGATGAGAGATTAGAAATCGATAATAAAACTTTCCGAGTTAGAAATTAGCAAGAGCTGTTAAATACGTTTTATATATATAAATCGTTATTTTTCTTTCACTCTTCGGGGCTCTTTAAATGCGAACGACGACAGGATTTACGCAGGGAAAACGAAATTATTAAGATCATCTGGTATTAATGCAATAACGATTTTCTCGTTTTCCGCTCATTTTCGAAATTATTATTATTATAAGAATATTAACGTAAATATATATACGTGCAAAAAAATTGAATTTCTATTTTCTTAAGTAGCCTTGATTCTTATACAAGATTTTAAAATGTCTCGAGTGCTTGTTAAGCAATCTTTCTCATCCTGTCACGTTGAACTTACTCGTTCATTTCTTCTGTTAAAGTATCTCCGCATCAATACCCATCGACTCAACGAGACGAAACGAGACTCTCGATCGCATCCTGGCGCTGTGGATTTCCAAATGGAGCAAATCGCAGTGACCCAGAAGATATTTTGTGGAAGAAGAAAGGCGCGAAGAGTATAGCGGCAAAAATCAATGACGACCGAGTATCGACCATTGAGAGACAACAATGTCGGCACACTTTTTCGCGAGCGAAATAAAAAACTCGCCAGCGAAATCTGCATGCGTTCCACTTTGGTAAGTAAATTTACATTATCTTATACACAGACACATAGGCACGCGCAAAGTGTTAATACATAATGATTGATATGACGAGAAAGATTATTATTTAGAAGCTAACTATAATAAGCTTTCTCGAAAATGTGGCTGCTGACCATGGTGTTTTGTAGAAGATTATGGCGTACGAAAATAGAAACACTCATTATTGAATAAATAATGAGCCAATAAATTTCCTTTAAGAAAGAGACTAAAAACGAAAGCAGTAGATTTCCCGAGGTAAAATTGAAGAATGCGCTAGATAAGTACAGCATCATCGCACATCGAAGAGAAAAGTAGCCAGTTTTCAAAAAGAATGCCCGTAATACAGGACAGACACACCCCGTGTAAGAAGAATCCGCGGCATCTCGTCGCGGGGAGATCGGAGGCTGAGAATATCGCATCTTAGACACTATCGCGCCGCGCGAGATGAGAGAAAGGTGCAGTTACGATACCGCCACAGAGCTCCCTTTCTCCCATATCGTCCGAGCGAAAAGAGAGGAGAAACGGGAAAGATGGGCCGCATTCTTGCACCACGCGCGCGCGCAAAAGAAAAACCAGCGAGAGTCGCGTATAAATCCCGATGATCCAGCGAGAACGAACAGGGCATGTTGGTATGTCCTCGATCTCGTCTCACCAACTGGTCCATTACTTTCCCTTTATTTGCCGAAACCCCATATTTCTCTTTCTTTTGCAGAGCTTCGTATGTTTTTAATTGAAGTATTCAACGCGTAACAAAGAGACGAACTCGTAAGAATCACTTGAAATAAAAAGAGTTATATTTCTTTCACAAATGGATCTTACGTAAATTGTGAATTTACTTTGTCATTTTATATCAAATTCTTTAATGATAATTGCATCTTTCACACTTGTCAGCATTTCTAAAAAGTAATTCAATTAATTCAATCGGCAATTAATAACTTTGTCGATAATAAATGTAAAGTAAGATCTGCTTGGAACTAGCTGGAAAATAAAATTGTTCTTAACATTTTTAAAGATTAATTTGGCATTTATAAATTAGTTAAGATAAATAATTTTTTTGTAAATAGCTTTTATTCGATGTCTTTTTTGTAAAAAAGAATTATATTATTATATTATGGGTATAAAAAAAATGTAGTATCATACTTTTAAGAATTTGTACATTTCTTCCGAGATATTTCAACGTGTCTTTCATATTTGACCTGATTTGGATGATGTTTTTAACGCACTGGAAAAGCGGGTAATTTTTTTGTACGCGTTACGGATCTGTGATAGCGCATGGATGCGTAAATATTACGGATAAATCAAGACATAACAGACTGCGTATTTACCGTTTGTCTCGGTCCGACACGAATATAAAAAGAAGTGGTGCATTGAAATAAATAATAACGTAACAGTGCTACTTACAATTAGTGGCAAATGTACCAATAAAAAAACGATCGTAATTTTTGTCGGAGGCAATAATTTTCTACAGTTGATGCGAGCGCGGCTTTACCTTTCCAGTTTGGTACATGATTGATATATATGAAACACGTCGAAAACAACTTTCTCCGTGCATTGTTTCGCCGTCGACGAAATAAATATCGACTCGAGAGTACTCACATTAAGCAAAAATCTTTTGCTTCAAATAATACTCAAAGAAACGCATTTTCATCGATAACATACAAGTGTTTCAATCTATTTCTTTATCGCCTTTCGAGACGCGAGTATATCGTATTGATAAAGTAAGTTTAGATTAGAAGATTCGCGCGGTGTGATCTATAGTTTAAATCTTTTCGAGAAATTGAGAAAATTGATCGATCGAAATTGAAATTTTCTCAGCCTCTGGATAGTAAGATTCGAATCGTGAATATCGCGCACGTCAATCGATTCGTCTCCCCTGAGTTGCATGACATTGTGTAACATGTTTGTGCGACGATGCATCCCATCAAAACGATCGGTAATCGCCGGGGAACGAATTTATGTCCGCGTGTGGCCACTTTCACTGGTGAGTTTCCTTTTTAACGCGAAGAAAATGCGTGCACTCTCCGTCGTCTGGTCGTCTAGTCATCGTGCGTTTTACCTTGCCCGTGACAACGTTCCGCTGGCGGAATCTCTTAATTCAACCCCGTATTTGTATAGCTTGCGTCAATTTCACTCGCGTACTAATGCCCACGATTAATCCGCTCGCTGGGACGCGACTCGCGTTTACACGCTCACGCGGAATCGTGCATTTTCACCGTTTATACCTAAACGGTATAGTGTTTTACTTCGCGTGACAGTACAAAGGAAATTGAACAGCTTACACATTATTATACAAAAGAGTATTCACCTTTAATCAAAACAAACCGAAGATCGCGTTTATACGCGATAATATTCAGATCAAAAAATGCTCGGAAGTAAATTTACATTTTATTGCAACTTCTATTATAATTTATTACATTTCTTGTTATAGATTATAATTTTTAATTTACGAGAAAATTAGTAATTTTATCCATATTTTTAAATAATACACGCAAAAATTGATTTCAATTTTATATAAGAATTTTATAACGTTTAAAGCTATAGTTATATATATTATTTTTTTTTATATTTATTATATGATTCTTTATTGGTTTATTAAAATATTCTATATTTTTATATAAATATAGAGTTAACAAAAAATTAGACGATAATTATGACATATAAAATATCTAGATAAATTAATTCGAGCTCTTTGCCAGCAAATTCCTAGTAGGAAATGAAAGTTCTAACATGAAAATGTGAAAATTCTCAGTATATGCAAATGAAAAATGTACGCCAAGGTATTTGACTTTCTTAAGACTATGGTTTTCTCCGCAATGATTAAATCCCAAAATATCAGTTACATCGGCATAACTTCCTTTAATTTTAAGAGAAAGTAAAGTATACTCCTTTTCATATACTTATATATTATATTATATTATTAACATTCTATTATTCATACGGTACATTTAAAATTTCGAATTATATTCTTCCGTAATATTATTTTACATTATTACAGTACGGTAAATTGATTAAATGATTTGCACACAAGTATGAATAATATGAAAAAGATCGCACGCTTTTTTCCGACATGTTCGCGTCTTCCGAAGATATGCGCTTCGGGAAAGATGTCTTAAGCAAGGTGGGAATCGCGTGGTCAATGAACGGTTTCGTGTGTCGAGCGTAGAATTACACGATCGCGTTGTTTGCAAGTGAAAATGTTCTCTTTCTCTCTCTGTTCCCGGGAACAACCGGGGACCGGCGTTCATCCGGTCTATGTGCTATCAGCTCCCAGCTGTAATTCATCTCGACTCGTCGCGCCTATACGTAAAGTAGCACTTGAATGACGCGCCGCAAGTAGATCGAGGTTAAAGATTTCTATGCCCCAAGGTTAAGGATGTTTGTAAGCACCTCGATTCTCTCAAGCTCTAGGGCCTGTCAGGGCCCCCGGGGGCCACAGCTGTCGCGCGATTAAAAAAAAGAATTTTTTTTCGACCACTTTCATTCGCCTATCCATCAAGTCACTCTCTCCGCTCTATATGGAACTGTCAAACTAGACCTAATTGCGACCGTCTTTTTGACCATATAGTCCTTTGTCATTTTTAAAATTGCTCTCTTGACTTTATGAAATGCTGAAACCCGAATATCGATTTGAAGACAATAAAGATAGGATCTGTAATAGATCGATTTATGTCTCTTTTTGTATTTATAAAAGATTCATGTATGTAACAAATAGATTATTTATTTTTTACTTAAAATTGTAATTAAAGGTGAAACATTATAATTGCAACTCTATATACCTCTTGTTATATATTGCATTATTATAAATAATAAAATGTTAAATAATTCACGTCGACAAACTCTGCATATAGTATAGAAAAATTTTGTATTAACGAAATTCATGCAATATTATATACTATAATTTAATTTTTAAATGTATACTATGATATTTTATGGATTTACCTTCTCCTCACTCAAATTTCCGACGTTGGGTTCCGAGAATGCTGTTATTGTTGCCGCCCATATGACCAGAGCAACCTGAAAAGAACGAGCATGCTATACCTCTTATGTATTAACAATGAAAAAGTTATCTATATATTTTAATGTAATTTAAAATTTAAAAAAAAATTTTATTCGTCATTATGTTAGACCTTAATTAAAATTTGATTAAATATATTTTTATTGTATTTTATAGACAATTTTATGTAAAATTTTTGATTTTCCGTATCACTTCTCCTAATAGAATGCGTCGCAAATTTCATTCGCTTATTACAATTAGATATTCATTCAGTCATACATATGTCTATTTCAGATTCAAATATATGCAATGTCAAGAGTTAATCAAATGCGGAAGAAAGGTACGCAAAACCGATGAAACTCACAGCGTAGAGTCGCATATCTTCTGCCTTAACGCATTAATGAGCGAGTCCTCTTCCGCACCGTCTTCCCGCTGTCGATTTCCTCCCTTAGCTCCGATCTGCCTGAAGGACGTCCGTCACGTATCCGAAGCGCGCACTACGCAACGATACAGTGTACTACTTGATCCCGAAACGATACAGTTGACTTAAGCCGAAGCTCCAGTTATCCCCACGCGAGACGGACGATTCGAGAAGCCGGCCGTTTACACACAGCGAGCAGCCACCTACAAAATCCCTCCAGCATCCTCGTCCGTGTCGCTTACCTGGCAATCTCCTGGAGGAAGCCAGGAGTGGGGCGAAGAGAGTCGTCGCTCGAAGAAGGAACCAGGTGCGGAGGGTAAATGGGAATTGAAAAGGGAGATGCGCGAGCGATAGACATGCGCGACGCACTCCGTAGATTTGTTTCCGCAATTAAACGGTGGCGGAAATTAACCCCTCGACGCCTGAAGCTAGGAATTCCTTCTCAAATCAAATGGACCCTCTCCGAACTTCTTTCTTCCAGGTCTCTTTATGAAAATTTATAAATATTCTATTCGCGCTTGCATGTGAGTAATCTTGACATTATTTTGAAAGATAAATTTAACAATTTGCCTTTTTTATTGCAGAAAAATTATCACACGCCAGATATAATCGGTTTCCATTGTCTTGTGTTCAACAGTAGCGAAGTCGGTAGCGGAACACGAGGTCGTGAAAGTGACATTGGCTGCATGTAGAGGGGACTTTAATGACTCTCTTCTCAATTTTCCTCTCCTTCATTCTCAAATATTATGCATGCCATTATACTTACGACGCTCGATTTCACCGGGGCAATTAAATTGATTTTCGAATAGTTTTGACAAAAAAGACTGTCCGTTGTAACGTGTCTAAAAGAAAGATTTAGGAGCGTGAAATAGAAATTGTACAAGATACACTTATAAAAGAAAAAAACTGTCTGAATATAAATTTTTGAATTTTTGAGATTTATTACTAAAATTTAAAACAAAATTGACAGTAAGATAATAATTGCAAAAAGATTCTATATTTTAAGAATATATTTGTAAATGTGATATTTGAATTTAAAGCAAAATAATATGTAACACACACACACACACACACACACAAAACGTTATATGTGTAGGAAGAAGATATTGACAAGCAAACAAAAATTTAGAATCGAAGCTGTAAATCGTTTATGAGACGCATTACTTTTCTCCGTTTCACTTTTGCATGCGTGAATTCCTTAAATATCTTAAATTAGAGTATGAGAGCCATTCGATATTGTCCGGAAAAGAAAGTTTGAATTCTCATTAATAACAACGGCGTTTTGTTTGTCAAAACTCTTGGAATGTCTTTAACTTAAATCCATCAGACGATCATACAATTCGCAACAGATTCAGGACAGAATTTTATTTATAACTTCATATATGTCATATAAGACAGACGAAATAAAATATTAAAAAGATATATATATCAGAATTCATACATATATTAGGAAACGATATTAAAATAGATTTCTATTCTGAATTTTGTCATCGAGTTATAAATCGGGTAAAATCGGGCTTTGAAAATTATCGGTACCCCTCAACATTATCAACTTCATCAACATTATGAACAACCGTAATATGATGTTTTCGCTACACCGTACAGCTTTCGTTTTGCCAAAGAAAGAATCGCCAATTCTACTCTCATTCCTTCATTTTCCTCTCTGGTTTTCCCCTATCCCATATGCGGTAAGTTGTATGCCACGAAATCGGAACACGCGAATACTAATATATACCAACTTCGTTCGGTACATGCCTACTATTTCCCAACTTTAACCGTTAACCGGAACTGCATACTTTTTCCGCTTATTTTTCATGTAAAACAGTTATAACGAATGAGTTATAATATAGGAAAAAAGAATAATCATATTATCGTCAACAAGTAGTAATTATTTTATTGTCTTAAAACGATAAAAATAAATTTTTCGACTTTTACGAATTCCGGAAATATTAATCCATGGAGAACCCAGCCACAAAATTCCAGACCGACAAGTACGCAATTTTTAACTATATGATAAAAAATTGAGTATTTATTTATATATATTAATGAATACTTATCGAACAATTATTTATTAACATATTAATGATATTCTTCTTATACACATAAGAATTCAATCCCGATAATCTTTTGTATTTAACTAAAATAATGCAATAAAATAAACGTTTAAGAACATAAAACTTACATACCTATAGTCTTCAATTTAAATAAATCTACATTTCTTCAAATGATTCTGATTGGTTGATCCCTACTCTATTATTTTTCCGAGATTGCGTTTTTCGAATTTCCGACTGTCATCTCTATACACAGACTTCTATATATATAGAAATTGTCGTACGACAAATGTAATATCAGCCTTAGGGCCACCGCACAAGCTTTTCCGTAATGCATTACGTTATGTTAAGTACTGATTCTAAACCTAAACCTAAACTCGTACGTAATCTTAAACTTCAGTCAACGCACAAACAAAATCGTAACGTAGTATGCTTTTGTTACGTTACGATTTTCTCTGTGCGTTGACTGAAGTTTAAGATTACGTATGGATTTAGGTTTACAGTCAGTACTTAACGTAACGTAACGTGTTATGGAAAAGCTTGTGCGGTGGCCCTGATACGGGCTTTAGGATTTAAGATCGTCTTAGTGCCGGTCTACAATAGATGATTTAAGCCCTAAGCCTTAAGAAATTGACTAATCACAGTCGAGTATTCTCCTCATACTTGATTGTGATTGGTCAATTTCTTAAGGCTTAGAGCTTAAATCACTATTGTAGACCGGCACTTACTGCTAAAGTTTTTTTATGTGCCACGGCCCTAAGACTTAGGGCCACCGCACAAGCTTTTCCGTAATGCATTACGTTACGTTAAGTACTGATTCTAAACCTAAACTTAAACTCGTACGTAATCTTAAACTTCAGTCAACGCACAAACAAAATCGTAACGTAGTATGCTTTTGTTACGTTACGATTTTCTCTGTGCGTTGACTGAAGTTTAAG